CGATTAGTATATTTCCTAATCAATGAGTTTGTAAGTATTTAATTACAGTAATTTTAAATTATTTTAATATTTTCCTAGAAATAAAACTATTTCACTAAGAAAAGTGAAATACACACCTTCTGAGTTTTACCCAAGATTCATGAAGTGTTTCTATGAACACAGAATGCACCTGTTGCAGTCACCCAGTTGTGTATTTTTGAGTGTTGACTTCAATTGTCCACAAATTTCCTACTGGGATTTCCAGTTCCCCTCTCCTGTGGGTATGAAAATCTCAATTATCTCTTAAGATTGGTGAGGACCTCAATTATCACTTAAGATCGGTGAGAAATTCTGTGTCTGTGTTGTATCTGTCCTGTATTGTGTATCTGTGAGGTATGGGAACACACTCTCCCTTCTGATCATCACTTGGGGTACAGCCCTGCCTAATCTTACTTTTGGCATCCATTAGAGCCCTAAAAACATCCACAGTTCATTCATCCTTTCTCAACATATACGGAAAGTATGTGAAAATACAATTCTTTAAAGAGAGTTGGGGAAATCCTGATTCTTTTATACTGGGCATTTCATGCTAAAAGTTGTAAGCAGGATATCCTTCCCAAGAAAAATGGTAAGAACTCCAGATATGGTTTCCCCTCCTTTTTTTCCCCCAATTCATTTTATGTCTTCTTCCTGACAGTATATCTCACAAATGGTGGAATCTGCCCTAAATATTGTGGTTTATTATCTTTCCAAAGTTTTGTGCCTTTCTGTCCTGAGTAAAATGATACAATGACATTGAGTAAAAGTGATTAAGCATTTTTATCTTTATTTCTCTTCTTTAATTAATTTACTGGGGATTTAGAAATTGTGGAAAAATGTTTTTTCCTGTAGCCTCTTGGATTTTATGGTGGATCAGGGGCCTTACAGAAAACATGAGAAATGGTACTCATCTTTATTTTCACAAGTTTATTTTGTTGGCTTCAAGTCCTCTGTACTTTGAAAGAAAAATAGATGTAGGTATGAATAAAGCATTTTTAAGTTTGGAAATAATCACAGAATCACAGAATATGCTGAGTTGGAAGGGACCCACAAGGATCATCAATTCCAGCTGCTGGCCCTGCACAGGACCATTCCCAAGAGTCACACCATGTGCCCGAACGTATCATCTACACACTTCTTGAACTCCGTCACACTTGGTGCTGTGACCACTTCCCTGGGGAGCCTGTTCCAGCACCCAAACACCCTCTGGGTGAAGAACCTCTTTCTAATATCCAACCAAAACCTCCCCTGACACAACTTCAGGCCATTACCTCAGGTTCTGTCACTGGTCACAACAGAGAAGAGATCAGTGTCTGTCCCTCCTCTTCCCCTCACAAGGAAGTTGTAATTGCAATGAGGTCTCCCCTCAGCCTCCTCTTCTCCAGGCTGAACAGAACAAGTGACTTCAGCCACCCCTCATACGACTTCCCCTCAAGACCCTTCACCATCTTCGTTGCCCTCCTCTGGACACGGGGATTGGATATCCGTCCTTTGGATTGGATAGCTCAATATCTTTCTTATATTGTGGTGCCCAAAACTGCACACAATATCCAAGGTGAGGCCGCCCCAGTGCAGAGCAGAGCGGGAGAATCCCCTCCCTTGACAGGCTGACGATGCTTTGCCTGATGCCCCCCAGGACGTGGTTGGACCTCCTGGCTGTCAGGGCACTGCTGACTCATATTCAACTTGCCATCAACCAGGACCCCCAGGTCCCTTTCCACAGCACTGCTTTCCATCCTCCCATTCCTCAGTTTGTACAAACATCCAGGGTTGCCCCATCCCAGGTACAGAATCCATCAGTTTCCCTTGTTCAACTTCATATGGTTGGGGATTGACCAGCCCTCTAATTTATTGAAGTCTCTCCACAGGGCCTCTCTGCCTTCAAGGGAGTGAACAGCTCCTCCCAGTTTTATGTCATTGGCAAACTCACTTAGTGTCTCTTCCAGTCCTGTGTCCAAGTCATTTATAAAGATGTTGAAGAGCACAGGGCCCAAGATGGAGCCCTGTGTTACCCCACTAGTGGCAGGTCATCAGCCTGATGTTACCCCATTCACTGTTACCCTCTGTGCTCAGCCCATGAGCCAATTGCTCACCCACCACATGATGTGTTTATCCAGCTGCGCTGGACATTTTGTCCAGAAGGATCCTGTGAGAGACAGTATTGAAAGCTTTACTGAAATCCAAACAGATGACATCAACTGGCTTCCCTAGATCAACTAGGCGGGTTACATTGTCATAAAAGGAAATCAAGTTGGATAAGCAGGACTTTCCTCTCGTGAAGACGCACTGGCTGTGATCAATGACAACGTTGTCATTCAGGTGTTTTTCAATATCTCCCAGAATAATCTTCTCTGCAACTTTACCAGGCACTGAATGAGACTGACAGGTCTGTAGTTTCCAGGGTCCTCCTTCTTGTCTTTCTTGAAAATCAGGACAATACTTGCCAGCTTCCAGTCAGCTGGAACCTCTCCGGATTCCCAATATTGCTCAAAAATCATCGAGAAAGGTTTTGTGATGATATCAGTGGGCCCTTTGAGGATTCTGGAATGAATCCCATCAGGAGTCATAGATTTGTAGGGATCCTGCTGGAACAGCAGATCCTGCAAAATTTTAGGGTCAACTGGGAGTTGATCATTCTCGCAGTCATGGTCCTCCAGCTCAGGTCACTGAAACCCCCTTGGTCTGTCATCCATGTTGAAGACAGAGGAAAAGAAAGCATTAAACACCTCTGCCTTGTCTCTGTCCCTGTTTGTGAGGTGACCATCCTCATCCTGTAATGGGCTGATGATATTTCTATACTGCCTGTTACCATTATTATATCTGAAAACCCCTTTTTATTGTTCCCCACCAAACTCCACTTTGCTCGCCAGATCCAATATGTTGACAAGCAGCAGATCAAGGAGGGCATCTTTCCAAGTTGGCTTCCTTATGACCTGTTCCATAGAGTTTTCAGCCAGGTTTTTTAGGAATCTTCTGGCCCAGGTTGTACCAGATATGTGATGCTTCCAGTTAACTTCTGGAAAATTGAAATCCCCCACAAGGGCAAGGGCAGTTGACTTGGAAGTGCCCCTTAGTTTCTCAAAGAATAATTTGTCAGCGTCAGTGTCCTGGCTGGGAGGTCTATAGCAGACTCCCACAATGACATTGGCATTATTTGTTTGCCCCTTGATTCTTTCCCAGAGGCTCTCAACTGTGCCATTGCTAGCTGTGAGCTCCATACATTCTAACTCTTCTATTACATATAGTGCCACCCCTCCACTTCTTCTGCCCTGCTTATCCCTCCTGAAGAGCCTGTAACCGTCTAAGAGGGCACTCCAGGTACAGGACTCATCCCACCAGGTTTCACTTATGCCAGTGAAGTCAAATTTCTGGGACAGGACCAAAGCTTTGAGCTCCTCTTGTTTGTTCCTCATGCATGCAGCATGAGAGGTCTGGCACTGTCTGCCGAATGTAGATTCCTGCTGTGCGTACCTATATGAAACAGTCCTGCTAAACTCAGTTCTCGTATTCCTTAAACAGGTGATCAAGGACAAGAGGCTTTGAAGACCTCCAGAGGCAGATTTTTTCTGGCAAGTTGAAGCATCTAATTAGCCTCCTCTCTGGGGGCCTGCAGGGGAATCTAGAGTTTCCTACTGATTACACACAATACTGCTTTAGCCAGATGATTATGCCAAAGTTTAGATGTTCATCTTTGGTGACCCTTCTGACCAAATACTGCCTCCCTCCTGTAGGGGAAGACAGGGACAGGGACAGGATGCATGAGCTGGACTTCTGGCCTTCACCAGGCGTTTTCTTGGCTCACATCTTTCTCTCTGTGCCTGCTCTGGTATCAACCCCAGCAAATGTGGACTTCAGTTGTTGGTAGCTTTGCTGCTGTGGGGTATAGGGATGAACTGAAGTTTGGACATGCAAGGAGCTGGGATACAGATGAGAATGAATATGGGACTTGCCTTCTATTTTTAAACCTGTCTTTGCTGCCTTGTTCGGTAGGATTGAGCTATCTCGGTGTTTCGGAGGCCTGGGGAGCAACATACGTGACGTCTCCCCTTGTCCGTCTCTCCGGGCTGCCCCGCAGCATCTGCAAGGGTGCTGCTGCCTGCCGTGAGGCTCGGGCAGCTGCCCGTCCTCTGGGATCAGCTCTGTCCGGCTCCTTCCACCCTCAGGGGAGAGGCAGGGCGGCCAGGCTGTGTCCCAGGGTGCCGGGGCGGCCCTCTCCCCTCTCCTCGGCTCCCCCCTCGCTGTGGCCGGGGGCATCGGCGGAGCGGGGCGGCCCCGGCCCGGCTGCCCGGCAGATGCCCCAGCCCCGGGGGGAGACGGGCTCTGCGTGGGGCACAAGCTCTTCCTGGCGCCCTGTCCTTGCCGTCGCGACCGGCGCCGCCGCCGCCGCAGGCGAGATCCCCCCGCTCCCCTCCCAGCCCCTCGCCTCTTGCGCTGCGGGCGCAGTTTGTCCTTCATTTGAATAAAACCACCATCAAAACCATTCAGTTGAGTCAGCTAATAAACCGCTTAATTCCCGAATCCATACCATGGGTGATTTAGAAAAGACAATTAAAAAGCCAGGGAACAGTCTCTGTGGCTTTTTATTGTGAGCTCCATCAGCCCAGAGTGCTGCCTGCCATCCGCTTCACTAATAAAAGCCTCGACACAGATTGCAATGGTGTTCTATAGGTGCCTGCTTTGCTTCTCCTCCTCTGCCCCAGACTGTCAGAAAATGCTTTCTTGGATATAAATAACTTTTTTATTTTATTTTATTTTATTTTGCTCTCCCTGCAGAGTTAGGGCTGGACTAAGAATGGTCACGACATAACTAACAGAAAGAGAATGGCAATGAGACAATCACCCAGTGTGAGATCAGTTCTGACTTGCTGTGAGCTTAACACCCTTCTCCTGGGCAGAGTGAAGGAGCAGCAGGGCTTGGGAATGAGCCAGCTCCATCACAGCTCTGCTATTGCGCCAGCAATGATGGAACATAACCCTCCTCAGGACTGGGACCAAGGGTCCAGTTTCACCTTTGCTACTCAAAGGCAAAGAAGATAGGACCTATACCTGCAATTAAAGTGGGCACAGTTCTGCTTTAATATCTATTAATTCTGGAGTAACAAAGCTAAGAGAAGAATGACTAAAACAAGAGTCACAGCAGGATTAATTTGAAGGTAATTTTTTGTTCTTATGTTTTTCTCCTGCCTGCTCAAAAACAAGCTAATATCATGCTAATGTTCCTTTTATAGACACTGCATGAAGCTCACCTGTTTGCATCCTGCAGTATCTGAACAAGAACCTGTCCCAGATCATATGATCTGTGTCTCCACAGATCATGTGCTGCTCCATTATGTGCTGCTGGGTCAAACTGCTCTGTGAAAAGAGATCTCCAAAAGTTCCCAGTTTTCAGATAAATTAGCAAGAATCTGAAGTGTCAGAGATTTGGATTGAATTCAGCTTTGCTTTTAATTCAGAAAGGTCCAGACTAACTCTTGACTGAAAACCTTCCCCTGTTTCCCAAGCTGGAGGAGTGGGTGGGAAGGCCTTTGCCCTCACTGCCAGAGCAGAGCAGGGCATGGTGCTACAGCAGCAGGAGTGGGAACTGCCTCTTGTGCCTGGAGAGAAACTTAGCAGAGAGAAGTTCCTCAAAAAGAGTTAATCTAGTCCACAACAGAGATTCCTGACCGTGCTGTGTCCAGTGTGTGGGCCTTTGTGAAAGCACTTTCTCTCTTGTTCTTCTCTTTGAAAATTTGCCACCCCACACAATTGACAAGGCAGTGCTTCTCACTGGATAGCATTAATGGAGTTCTGTTTCCTTGCAGTTTCTACAGCTGTCTGGTTTTCTACTTCTCTCCCTTTTTCCGTTTCCTGTTGGCACTGCATCCTAAACTCCTAACCTCTTACACACATGCACTGTTTTTTTTCACTTGCTGGGGGAGGTGCTACACAATGAGATCCATGTAGTGAGAGTTCAATTGCTACATGTCAGAGCACGGCATATGCTAGCCAGTTTTCTCACCCACACCCGTCTCCGTGGGATTTCTCAGCACATTTGCTTCCCAGCTCCTGCACTCAACATGTGCTGCAAAGTGTAGTGGAATATCCGGGTCTGAGGCCCTGCAGTGTACAGGAGACTCTTTCTGACTTGTATTAATATTGCTGCCAGTGAAATCTGTGGCATTTTGATTGCTTTGGAGCTCCATGGCCGAAATGCGTTTCTCTCTGCTTACCCATATGACTCTCCTTTTAGCTTTTTGTCTTCACATGAAAGAGAGGGCAAAAAAAAAATCTTTTGATGTTTTTGAGAATATTGCAAGATATTCTCATGAAAACACCATTTCATTTGCTCAGGCGCTTGTTCATACAGGCTTTCATGACTTCCAGGATTGACTATTTTAATTTGTTCCTGGTGGTGTTCCAGATTGTTTGCTAAACTGGCTGCAGATGGTTTTGAATGTTGCTGCTGCCAGAATTGTTACTAGGACTTGATCTACAGATCGTATTTCTCCAGTCTCACGTTCCCTCTACCCTGGTGCCTGTTAAGCAGCATATGGCCTTAAAATTCTTTACTGACTTATAAAGCTTGCACTGGCCCTGATTCTTTTTACCTTCCTGACCTTATAACGCTTTAGACTTTGGCTTAGGCTCATGGCTTATCTGATGTAATGGCCACTGACAGTTCAGAGTCAGCATCCAAAAAACAGGGTCAAGTATGGCTTTGGGTTTTGCTCCTTGTCATACTTTTCTTTCAGTGAAGGAAGTGGGTTTATTTTTTGCTTCTATTGCTTAATATTCAAATTATTATTCCAAGTTTTACACTAAGCTTTTTCACGTAGATTCACACACAGGCACAGATACGCACGAAGTCAACATATAAACAGTATGCTGCTCCTTTAAAATTCAAAAGTGCAAACAAAAGCAATTTGGTTCCCAGCTGATGTAGAAGAGAACTGGTCTAATAAATTCTGGAGAGCCACTTTCTGACGACAGTGCATGAAGAGGGAGAGCTTCTTGTATGTGCATGGCGTGAAAAAATTTTGGAACATCGCCTTCTTTTATTTGCATGCCCTTCAAGTACTTTGATTACTGAAAGCTAAGGAGTGTTACTCTTAGCTGTCTGTCGGCTTTGTGTTGCTTCATCTGAAAAGCAGGTATGCAAGAACACTGCCTTGCGTGGGTATATTTTGTTGCAAAGCATTTGATTCCCCTGAAACTAGTGAGACCCTGCTGCTGGTTTTGATCCCTGTCAGATGCAGAGCCAAGGACAATAGAAGGGACCTGAGTTCTTTTCACCTGTAACTGAATGTGTTCATAGACCTTTTATTAACAGTGGTATAGCACAAATTCACAGTGGGTGAAATTTTGTATTTACTGAAATCTATGGGAATTTTTTTGATGGCTTTGTTAGAGACAAGGCTTAAAGGAACAAGGTTTGGAAGCAGAGTTGGCTTGGATTGCAAAGTTGGAAACTATATAGAAAGAGTTCTTGCTGTCAGTAACTTAAGTCAGGATTGTTCTTGGAGGTCATTGAGATGTTATCAGGGTTGTTATAATTTTAGATCCCCTTCCAGAGAAGAGCCACTCTGCAAGTTCAACTGCTGGTATTTATTCCTTAAGGGTTAGGTCAGGGAGGGTTCTTATCCTCTTGCTAGCCTTGAGCCCCTCTGGAGAACTGAGCTGTTTGTCTCCAGCTGGAAAGAATTCCAAGTGCTCTCTTCTGCTTCCACCTCAATCTGCAAGACCAGACAAGGATCCTAGGGCATTCCAGTCCTCTGCCTTCACTGACCGAAATGCAGTTATTTCTGAGAAGATATGTAAGAATTTCTTTGATCTGAGTAGATCTGAGTTTACAGATCTCTTTTTCTTCTTAGACTCCCCAGTCTGATTTTCTTGGTGAGGTCCTTTATATTTTGTATTTGTTCCTTTTTATTCTGTCTTTCAACAAAGTATAAAGTAGAACATAGGTTCTACTTTCCCTATGGAAAACCATTCCATGCTTTTTTTCTTCTTTCACTTGTTCTAGAGTTGATCATAGTTGCATATTAAATAAATTTCTAGAAATAAAAAAAAGGGGGGGTAGAATTTGAATAGGGAAAAAGGGGGAAGAAGAGAATAAAAGGGAAGAAATAGAAGAAGTTGAGAAGTTATGTTCACTGCCATTTAATCTGAATGCATTCTGTCTGCTTTTGTGTTGTTCTGTCAAAAAAAGAGAAGAAGGAAGAAAGAACGGACATATCAGCACTTCTTCATAAAAAAAACTTTTTCTCAGGAGAATTGTATATTTTATGAAAAAAAAATTCAAAGTTCAGATTACTTTTTGGATCATAGAATATATTAAGTTTATTCCTGCATGCTAAATTTGTCAAGGGAGAATTGTAGTACTCTATAAAAAGTTAGAGTGCCCTAATACAGTTGGAAAGTATTGGAAAGGAACTGTAGCTATAAGGCAGGGAACACAAGACAAAGGACATGGAAACTCACTGAAGTTCATAACAATTTACTGCTGTGATGTTGAGGCCAGATGACTTATGAAGTCCCCAGGTATACAACTAGGTCAGCAATAAGTAGAAATCAGGAGTTACTTTTCTCCTGTGTGTACAGACTAGTATGAGAACATGGCACACAAGACTGCAGTCAGCTTTTTAAACAAGATGTTGAGCAATTAGAAAAAAAAGTTAAGGAAAATGAAGAGAAAGTAAACAAAATTATCTGAGAGTTAGAGAAGTTACTTTCTCTGAGAGCTAGAGGAGCTAATTTCTCTTCACAAACTTTAAGATCGGTGTGTTTATTTTAATTAAAAGATGGATGTTGAAGTAATCTTTAATTAAACATATATGGCCACAGCAAGAGTTATGGGTGGAAGCTGTGGTCAAATGAAGTCAGAAGAAAATGTGAAACAGGCCCTGAGCAGCAATGGCAAGAAACTACTGCAACACAATACCAAAAAAACAGTGATATTGCCTAAACAACTCCGAATGCTTTTCTGAAAGACTTGTGTTCACTCAATACAAGTTTTACTTTAGTCACACATATTACTGAGCTCGCTCACTATGTGAACATTGAATAAAACACTGTGCTCTGGGATGTGCAGTAGAACAAACTGAAAGAGATGTTGGCCCATCCTGACCTTAAACTTTAGGAACCTGGGACATAACTTTCTGGGTCAGGCCAGGTTTCTGTTACCCCTTGCTTCACACAGAAAGATGGAACAACAACCCCAAGAGGTTACATAGCTTTACTTTTAAAAGGAGGAAAACAATTAATATCAATATTTTTATAGAACTAGTTAAAATGTGTTTCAGCAGATCCTTTCAATTCCTTTGACTGAAGTTAAATGCCTTAACATTTCCAAATAGAATTTTGATTTTGGTCTAATTTTAATTTAGTGACTTGAATGTTTTAGTTCAGGACTCAGAGGGACTTTGATTCCTCATGGGAACCATAGTTCAAATGCAGCATCCCCATTTTTCCTCCGTTGGTTTGGGGTGTCCAGTTCAATTGGATCTTGTATGATGTTTCAACTTCAGGAATGTCTATGGTGTAATTCAGAAATGGAAGCTTTTGCAAAAAAGAAGAGCTGGGGCATGTATTATCTGAACTAAAATCCCATAGGCATTTCTCTGACTTTTCTCTCATTCCTCTGACCATGAGGTATAGTCTAACTGTTGTTAGACTAGCCAAAATGTTTTCCTTGGAGTCAGTGTTGTCCGGTGAAGATTCGGAAACTTCAAGGAATATTATTAATATTTCCTAGCAGTAAAGTTCAGTTTTGCAGAAAATACATTTTATATGGGAAAGCATTCATGGAAATTTCCTGAATAGTTTTATTTAAGAACTAGAGAACCAGGTCTTAATTAAAAGGGGGAGAGTGCCAAATATTAACACCCCCAGGGACAGCAAGACTGATTAAATACGTGTCTAATGTTCTGTTTTTAATCCAAAGGAAACTGCTTCAATGGCATACATGTTGTTTTAAGTTTTTTTCATTTTCCTGAAAAAGTGTCTAAGTAAAACAGCATGTTCTTTATGCTGGGGTGCCATTCCCTGGGGTTACTCTCATCATGCTCACAGTGCATAAGTGCTGCTTATTTCTCTGAGTGAATAGACACACCAGCAGCATGAGGGCTAGAAACAACAATGAAGAAAACACTGTAGTGGTCCTTTTGTGTGTCTG